GGAGATGTAAGATAAAATCAATCTTTTCCTCTCCAAGTTGGTTTTGGTCAGTGTTTTTTTTATCACAGCAATAGAAAGTAACTAAGACAATGGTACTGGCTTACAGAAGGATATTTTATGCCAGTATATATTGTTCTTTGAATATATCCCCCCACAAATGTATGACGGTTCCCTTTCTTACCCCTTCTCTCTTGCTCTTTTCTACCCTTGACAGCTTTGCTTCTACTTTGATGTTATGCTTACAAATATAAGTTTATGTATCTATGAAACATACAGGAACTAAAAATGAGAGAAAGGATGATATTTGTCTGAGACTGACTTAATTTGCTTAATATGGTCACCTTTGCATGCATTTTCCTGTAAATGAGAAACCCTGTTTTTCCTTTCGATCACCTCCTTTCTTAACACACTGGCAAAAAGAAATCTACCAAACTGGTTCAGAAAGAGTGATGATAAAGTTAGAACAGGAAAGGAGAAAATTTATTGTTTTTGGAACTTTGGATTATGGTTAGATGGAAGGGTTGGGAAGGAGTAAAAGATAACAAGGAGAAGCTGCAGGCACCCGGGTCCCCGTGAACCCTCTGAGTCGAAAGGAAGCTGAGAAGGGAACAGAATTCCCTGAATGTGTCCTAGAAGAGATGCCATCTGAGGCTGGTGAGCCAGAGGGGGTTGATGAAATAAGGATGACACCTAGTAGGCTCTGGATGCAGCAAGAATTTGGTGGCTGAATCAGGAGCACTGTTTGAGTGTGTCTGCATGTCTTAGAGGAATTTGAGGCAAGATAAGGTTGAGGCACCATTCCAGGCCTGGAAGTGGTGGAACAGGTTTTGAACAAAATAGCAAAGGAGCCTAATTTTTCAGGGTGTCCCAATTTGACACCCCACTCTCTTCCTTCTCAGTCCTGAGAATCCACCCCCATCCTCATTACAAAACGGACTAGTATTCAGCATCCTGTCTTTGCAAGTCTTCCACAAAGGAGTCTATTTTCCAAAGCAAAGGCCTTCCGGAGGAGAAATTAGGCCATCTTTTCTACTCTTCTCCCCACCAACTCTCACATTCCCATTAAAACTTATCTCATCAATTGTTGCCAGGAGAGTGGTTTGATTACTGTTGACTAAAGTGTTAACCGTCTCGGTTCCTTTATGTGGGAAAGAAAGTGCTTGAAACCTCAAAAGCCACAGACATTAATAATTGGACTTTGCCAAAAGTATTTTAGGTCATTTTTCTGGTGTTGTATGGCAAATTACATGAGACAGATAATTAATATATTTATGCTACATAGGTGGTAGAGACAGGGTTGAATTTTAGCATGTGACACGAGGGGCTGCAGTTAGTCATTTCTGATGTGTTCTCAACCTGCTGGGGAAAAGCTTACTTTTAAAGACCTGAGTATAAGCGTTGTTTACTTGGTAAATAGTTAAATCTGAGTGGATATGGCTGAATGGTAGGGAGAGGGTTCAAGCTTGCACATGGAGGAAAAAGCACTAATAGGTGGGCTGCTCATGCAGTTTTGTGAAAGTGTTCCCTCCTGTGTCTATAGCCCACTCAAGATGTACTGGATTAGTAATAGGCGTTTCCCCCCTTTAATCCATGCTAAGAAAGTTGAAGTCCAAAAACAGATCCTAGTAGTCAAAGTGGATTAAAAACATTTTTCAATGTCTAATCTCAATACAATGAGGAAAATTTGAGAAAAGTGGCCGCAGATGGGCCGGACTGACATCTCTAACGTTCCTTCTCCCTCAGCAATCTCCAGAGAATGAAGTAAGCTGGAGAAACTCTTAGGGCCTTTCTAATGCATTTGGATATTTTAATAAATGTTATGATATTTTGTGGATTCACCATTATGATAGTGCATGGCTATTTCTTTTAATTTCATTTCTTAAACTAGCCATAGCCAAAGTGTAACAGTGCTTTTTCTACCTTTGTTATGAGTCATCTGAAAAAACAGACTGCTTTTGATTCAGCATATGCTTTTGAATTTCATAATCTATGATTTTATACTTATACTTGATCTGATTTCCTTTCTGGAGGCCAACATGCAGGAGAATTCTGGAGGAGGAAAACGACAAATGCTTTCTCATGATGGAATTTATGGTGGCAAGATGAATGTGAAACCATTAAGGCAATTACAGAATCATTGCATTTATTTATGTGTGTGTGTGTGTGTGTGTGTGTGTGTGTGTGTGTTGGTGTGCATGCACATGTATATATGGAGGTCAGAGAACAACTTGTGGGAATCGATTTTCTCTGTTCAGCATATGGGTGTGTGTGTGTGTGTGTGTGTGTGTGTTGGTGTGCACGCACATGTATATACGGAGGTCAGAGAACAACTTGTGGGAATCGATTTTCTCTGTTCAGCATATGGACCTCAGTGATCCGATTTAAATATTCAGATTTGGTGGCAAATACCTTTACTCCCTAAGCCATCTCACTAGCCATTTTTATAGGCAATTTTAAAGGGTAGATTTTCATCTTAAGAAACACATATTAAATATGGAACTCTCCCCAATCCGTAGACACATTCTTCTGTTCGTTAATAGCAAGCAGTTGAAAAAGTCCTCAAGTTAATACAACATGCTAACCAGGAAATGAATAAAAGTTTATTTTGTCTAGCCATTTTGATAGAATGCCATCCATCAACCTTTTTATTCATTGTGTTGGCTGAGATGAGAAATACAAGAGGCTGAATAAGGTTGGTCTGGCTTGGTTATAGTTTGCCATTTAGAGTTGAGACATTTGTTTTTAAAGCATGTCTCACTGACAGGATTAGACAGTCAAGGAATATGGGAAAAAAGAATCTAAATGCTTGTCTCTGAATAGGCATAAATGTGTGATTACAATAATGATCCCCATCTGAAGATGTGGTGTATTTGGGGTAGAATTCTCTAGTTTCTTCTATCTCTGAAATTGGTAGCATTCTTCAGCAACACATTTCCCACATACCCAAATTTGCTTGCTTATAACTTGTATCAATTGCAGATTAATTATCTGATTATCCTTCTTTGGAAGGGGCCTTAAAATTGGCTTGTTTATAACAGTTCCTGTCACCAATGGAATGCAAAGCAATGCCAACTGAATGCCATTTCAAAGAAAACCCCTTTTTCCTTTTTGGCAGCAGAACGGAACAAAGTCACACAGTAGCACTTGATTTATGAACTGTGTTTTCTTAACTCTCAGCCTCCCTGGATGTTGGGTAGGTCTCTTTAAGTAACTTATTTGGTTGGGAGCATTTAACAAGAAAACAATTCTACTTCCATACCTGTTCTTTAATTTGAAATCCTGTGATCCTTTGACATCCATCCTAAATTCAAGCTTCCCATAACCAGTTAGGAGTAAAGACTGAGCATTCCATTTCAGTTTAGATTTTTGAACCAGGGTCTAATCAGACAGGTGCTCCAATGACCTGTGAATGGTGAGTATTATAGATAATATTTGTGGAAATATTTCATGTTCCACATTCCAGTCAGAATGCAGGTTAATTTAGGTCTAGCAGCGAAATAATTCAACTATGTCTTCCTAAGCAAAACCAGGAATTGCCCAAAGAGAGGAGGAAGTTAATCACAACAGACCTGGAGGATGGCCTGCTGCAAGGACTGAGAGGCAGTTGGACAGGGAGCAACCCACACTTCAGAGTATTTTTGGCCATAAGCAAAGTCCGTCCTTGTAAGTCGTTCCCTAGACTAAGAGTTCATTGTAAAGTGGGTCTGATCCCTGGAGAGAGAGAAAATGATTCTTTCTGGCTGAAGAGAAGTTAACTCTTTCTGCTCTCCTGCTGTGGGGAAGGGGGTGGATCAGTAATGATTAATTCTCTGATGGGTTTTAGGGATCAGGATTTATTCATACTGTATTTTCTGTGTGAATGCATGGGATGGTGGAATGTTCTCGAGTAATAGCTCTTCCTGGGGTCCCTGGATAGACAACATTGAACACATACTCTAATAACTACTGAATCATTCAATGGGCTGATGTCACTTCTTTTTTTTCCCCCAATACACAGAAATAACTGAAGATAATTTTAATAACCACATTTTAAAAGCTTAGTTTCAGACATGAGCTTTTTTTAGACATGGGTGCTAAAAATGGGAACTGTATGTTCTGTTTAGAAATTATTTTGCCAAATGATGGCTATGAATTCATCAGAGGAAATGCTGCAGAGCTAGGAGAAGAATCCTCTTACATTGTAGTACGCTCCCTTTAAGAGGGAAACACGATTACCAACTTTGGCAAAACTTCTGTTTCTATTCAGAGGGAAAGAAGAAGAGCTGCTAACATAAAGAATATGGAAAAAGAAGGATGAATGGGTGGATGGATACTATTAAGCAAAAACAGGAGAAACTTTACCCCTTACCAAAAGCTTACCTGGGAGTGGTTTTTAACTCCTCTGGGGTGAATAAAGGCTTCTTTTCCAATCAAGGCTAAGGGTGGAGCTAGTAGCAGGCATTTAACCTGAAGTAGGTACCTTTCTCAGTCCTGTTCTGTTTGGTGCAGTACTCAAGAAGAAAAACCTAAGTGGAGAGAGAAGAATTAAGGGGCTGCCTACTCCAGCAACCAGACTAAAGGTAGAAAGTCTTTATTGCTCTGACTTCAATAGTTAGAAAGGTTAAGACTGCCTCTGCATATTATGGATTTTTTTTCCCCCTTCTGGTTTCCCTCATGCAAGAAAAGTCTGTCAAAATAAAACTACCGTTTTCTGTGTCAGGTCAGAAAAAGCTGTGAGGTATCATTTAAGGCAATCATAGTGTTTACTGAAACCCTATGCATAAAGAAAAATGTTATTTTCTCTAATTGCATATTTTGTTCCTGTAATGACTGAGCTGCATTCTAAACTGAAATGGGTAATCAATACTGAATGTCTCTATGGTTCAAATGAAGTCTTACCTACTTTAGATGACACGAAATTGCTCCCAATTTGGCAAACTGCTGTCAAGCTGGAAATTGGAATCTAAAACTAAAACGTTGTTTAATTTTCTTTCTTTTTCTTTTGTTCTGTATTTTTTTAGGTTTTAACTGAGAACTAAAAGGCAAAAAATAATAAGACACTTACAACTCTTAACGGGTACCAAACTCCCCTGGATGCCCTAAGGGACCAAGAAAGAATGAGTTATTACGGCACCAGCTACCGGATTGTCAATGTGGACTCCAAACACCCCGGCTATCCCCCAGAGCAGGCCATAGCTGAGAAGAAGAAGGCGAGGCGGCGTCTGCTCCACAAGGACGGCAGCTGCAACGTGTACTTCAAGCATATTTTTGGAGAATGGGGGAGCTACGTGGTTGACATTTTCACCACGCTGGTGGATACCAAGTGGCGCCACATGTTTGTCATCTTTTCTTTGTCTTACATTCTCTCCTGGCTGATATTCGGTTCCATCTTTTGGCTCATAGCCTTTCATCATGGAGACCTATTAAATGACCCGGACATCACACCTTGTGTTGACAACGTGCATTCCTTCACAGCAGCTTTTTTATTTTCTCTTGAGACCCAAACTACCATAGGGTACGGTTATCGTTGTGTCACAGAAGAATGCTCTGTGGCCGTGCTGACTGTGATCCTTCAGTCCATCTTAAGTTGCATCATAAATACCTTCATCATCGGAGCGGCCTTGGCCAAGATGGCAACCGCCCGGAAGAGAGCCCAGACCATCCGCTTCAGCTATTTCGCGCTCATCGGCATGAGAGACGGGAAGCTTTGCCTCATGTGGCGCATCGGTGATTTCAGACCCAACCATGTGGTGGAGGGCACAGTGAGAGCCCAACTTCTGCGCTACACAGAAGACAACGAGGGGAGGATGACAATGACGTTTAAAGACCTCAAACTAATTAATGACCAGATCATCCTAGTCACCCCAGTGACCATTGTTCACGAAATTGACCATGAGAGCCCTCTCTATGCCCTCGACCGCAAGGCTGTGGCCAAAGATAATTTTGAGATCCTGGTAACATTCATCTACACTGGTGATTCCACTGGCACATCCCACCAGTCTAGAAGTTCCTACGTCCCCCGAGAGATTCTCTGGGGCCATAGATTTAATGATGTTTTGGAAGTGAAGAGAAAGTACTACAAAGTGAACTGCTTGCAATTTGAAGGAAGTGTGGAAGTCTATGCTCCCTTTTGCAGTGCCAAGCAACTGGACTGGAAAGATCAGCAACTCAACAGCTTGGAGAAAGCATCCCCAGCTGGAGGATCCTGCACCTCTGACACCAATGTGAGACGAAGGTCGTACAGTGCAGTTGCCATCGTGAACAGCTGTGAAAACGCGGAGACCTGCACTTCCGCTGATGTAGAGGTGTGTAAGGAAGCCCCTTATCGGAAAGCTCTCCTGACTTTAAACAGAATCTCCATAGAATCCCAAATGTAGTCTGCTCTCCAGCCAGTTACCTTAAGGCAAGAAGTTGTAAGCAGGGTCTTTCACAAAATGCAAGATGTGTGTTTCATGGCAATGATAGGAACTAGAGCAGGTTACACTTGGTAAGGTGCAATGTTCAGTATTTGGAGAACAGATAGGCTGCTAGAATAAATAAAAAGAGGGAAACAGGTAATTCAAATGATTAATAAGCATTTACGTTTATAAATGGATTATGTAATGGAAGCTTTGTTTTCGAAGCATCTTTTCACCTAATCATGATAGACAAGATATGTCTTCAGGGCCAAAATGTCGAGATCTGTAAGTAAAATCAGATATAGTTTCAGTCACCACATTTTGCTCTCCTAGCATCTTAGTATCAGCAGACAGAGGCAGTGGCTTTAAGAACCTGACAGTGTCACTAAGTCATACACTTCTTTCAGTGACGCATGTCCAGATAGTTATTATTGAGTGTTTGCAGCTATTTTTTTTCACTAGCCATGTGGCAGAAGTAAAATTGACATCATTATTCCTGCGATGCAGGAATGAATGGCAGCCTCCGGCTTTCCAAGGGAAAATGCTGCTGCCTATGGTTCTGAGAGGCTGTTGTGTGAGCTGATACGTAAGAAATAGAGCTTTTCCTGTAGGCCACAGAGCCCAGTGTATCTGCATTGTGCCCAGCAGCGTTAAACCTGCTCCCTAGAGTAGTCATGAAGGGTTTTGTGAAGTAACGGAATGAAGGCAACCTGATTGTACGATAAATGAACAATCTAGAGACTAGGGGAACGCACACATTTTCAGACAGGAGGTAAATTTGTACAGTCTACTTTCATGTTAAAAGATGCAACTCCTGATTTCTTTCAGCCCAAGTACAGTCACAGACACTAAGCTTTGTAAATTGCAGAGCTACGGGTGATGTGGAATGATGTGTGTATCTTTTCATTGTTGCTGAGCTGCCAATGAGTACACGGCAGAGGTTTTATTTGTTTAACTTATACATATGCACACATACCCATAAACACACACATACATTAACACATGCCACACATATAAATACATACATATATACAAACATGCCATAGACATACACACACACACACACACACACACACACACACACACACACACACAGAACCAGATGGAAACCATGTACATGCACACACATTTTGGTTTTGCTCTTTTTGGAGAAATTCTCTCTCTCT